TGGTGAGGCACTGGAATGGGTTGCCCAAGGAAGTTGTGAATGCTCCATCCCTGGTGGTGTTCAAGGCCAGGTTGGACAGAGCCTTGGGTGGCATGGTTTAGTGGGAGATGTCACTGCCCATAACAGGGGGTTGGAACTGGATGATCTTAAGGTCCTTTTGAACCTTAACTATTCTATGATTCTATCCCTCAGGCAACGGATGGTGGAGTCCCAGTTCAGCTCCTCATATGCAATGGATATTGGAGTCTTATATCAACTCCTCCCACCCATCTCTGAAACAAAAGATGGATTTCCAGCTCAGCTCAGCTTCTCAGACCAATGATGTCTCACACCACTCAGTGTCTCAAAGATTGTTCTGGATCCTGGTGGTTTTAGAAAAGAGATAGTGCAAAAGAGGCCAAGAAATGAAAAGAGCAGTAGTTTAAACTATTTCTACAACCAGTGGTTTCTGTGGACATAGTAATCTGATTTGCTTAGTTCCACCAGGAGAGGCAGTAGCTACAAATTGCACATTTGTTACAACACTCCAAATTAATTGAATGGGACAAGATAATACAAGGTAAAAATTAAAATCATTGAAAAAGCCATGTAAGAAACAGAATAAATTTATTTAACCCACAGACCTCCAGGAAGCCAGGAAAAAGGGTCAAACTCACATCCTTTCCAGGAACATGAGCCAATTTTCAAATTCTGGATGTGATTCGGTTTGCTACTTAACCATTATAAATTTTCAAAAACAACTGAATAATTTAGTTTGCCACAAGCCCTCCCTTCCATGGCTCGCAGGTAGTCGAGAACCATGCAATGTTTAAATTTTGCTGTCCCCATTTTCCTGTCCTGCTTGGCTAACAGATCAAGGGCACAGTTCATTCGTAACCAGATAATGCAATTTAAGTTATAAATAGGTTCTCGAGCAGAGCTGACCAGTTCCGTAGGATTCCCGGTAGCCGGTCTGTCATGTTTTGTTATTTGCTACAATATTGGATTAAAGACTGAGCCACATGGGGGCCACCAATTCGTTCACTGCATTTCCTGGAATTACAATATTTGCAATTTAATCAGGCATGCACTTCCTTGCTGGGTGGTTGTTGAGGGGTCTCTGGTGGTCTTCACTAGTCTTCTTCATTCGACCCTTTGATGAACCTCTGTGCTTACACACGTACAAAAGACTTTCATGAATTACTTGACAACTACATCCAATTGAGGTCAATTTGCTCTGATTTGTTCATTACCTTGAAGAACCAGCCCCATTGGCTGTGAGAGCAAGGGTTGGACATTCGTGCTCTGCTCACTGTGCTGCAGGATGGACAGGAGCGGACCCTGGAGACTCAAATGGACTCAAATTGGACTCAAATGGACTTTTAGGTGGGAAAGCAACAAGCTAGAGCAATGCAGGTGGCACTATCACGGAGCTCACTGTGTGCAGAAAAGGCTCAGCAGCAGCTTTCTGTCCTGGCTCGGTTGTTGGAACAGGGGCCGGATGTTCCTGTCCTGTACTGTGTGCTGCATGACAGCCAGGGTTGGGCTTCATGTAGGTTGCACACAAGTGGACTTTTATGTGGGAAAGCCAGGAGCGAGAGCAATGCAGAAGGCACTGTTGTGCAGCTCACCTCGTGCAGGAGAGTTACAGCAGCAGTTTCTGTCCTGGCTCTTCAGCTGTGGGAGCAAGGGCAGGACTCTGCGCACCGTGCTGGGTGACAGCTCCGGGCAAAGCCTTCCTCTTCCCTGCTCCCAGGGCTTCCAAGAGGTGGAAGAAGATGGAAGAGGTGCCGGGTGCCCAGCAGTGCAGGTTTGCAGGGAGTGGGGTGCTGTGGGGTGATGCGCCCCATGTGCCATCCCCAATCCCTTCTCCTGGGGAAGAGGGTCCAAGTGGGAGCTGAGACCACCCGCTCTGTGGAGGATGCAGTGACTTTGGGAAAGCCCTCGGCCGCAGCAATCTCCGCTGCTCTCTCCGGGATCCAGCTGGAGGCGGCTTTTGAAGAGGACTAATTCCCTGGTGAGTATTGTCTCGGTGCGATATGGTAGACCCCAGCATTTGGATTCTCTGGTGCTGACACTGTGGAGGAGTCTCCCCACAGCCCTCTGCACCTTTGTCCTCACCTCCTCATCCTCGCCCTTCTCCTCCTTGTCCCTGGAGAATGTGGAGGACTCGGGGCTGGACTCTCCATCGCACCCCTCACCTGGACTCTCCCTGGACTCCAGGCCTTGAATGCCGCAGCCGGCTATGCTGCAAAGCCCCTTCCTCAAGCAGGGCAGCCTCCCAGAACTCCTCCCGCTGGCGGTTGCCATCCCTGGCACCGAGGGGCTGTGGGGAGTCTCAGCGCGGGGGCCCTGGGATGAAGCAGCCGCACAGCAACCTGACAAACCCCCTCGCCTGACCCCTTCAGGGAGCCACTGCCATGGGTCAGGACCCGCAACCCCGGCAGGGACCAGCCCCATCCTTCCTCCAACTCAGCTTCCTCCTCTTCATCCTCCTTTCCAGCACCTCCCAGGAGGGAGTCCTCCAGCCCCTCGGCATGGACCTACCAAGGGTCGGGGTTGAGGCTGAGCGAGGGCATCGCTCCGTGGCTCCCCCCCCACAACCAGCTGAGTGACAGTGTTTGCAGGAGTTGCTCCCATTACCCTTAATTCTGTGTCCCCCCCCGCCTAGGGTCTCAACTTAAGAACAGGTCTGAGACAAGACAAAACTCATTGCATGGTTGAGACCCCATACAGGCCCCCTGGGGAGCTCTGCCATGGTAGCATCCCAGCGCCCAGCTCCTCATCACTCCATCTCCCAACTTCCAAGGATACTCAGTCCCACTTCGAACCCCAAAAAACCCATGTACCGTGGCGACACAGTTCAGCAGTGAGGGCAGCACACTATCAGGTGTCGAGGTGGAGCTGGCGAGTGCTAGGCCGCATGTCACTGGTCAAGAAGAGGTTTGCTACAGGGTAGAGCTAGAAGAGGGCCATGAGGCAGAGTCAGGGCCCTCTCTTCATCCGCTGTGGCCCCTAGGTACATGGAGTCCCTTCCTTGGAGAGAACAGGGTCTATTCCCCACTCTTTGGTTTGCATGGGGGCCCCTTTCCTAGGGTGCACAAGGGTCCCTTCCCTGCTCCTCATGGCTTCAGGGTGCACGGGGTCCCTTTCCCAAGGTGGATGGGGTCCTTTTGCCACTCTATTGGGTGCATGGGGTCCCTTTTCTTTGGTACACAGGGGCCCCTTCCCTGTTCTCTATGGCCCTGGGGTTCATGGGTTCCCCTCCCTAACACCTGAAGCTCCATTGTGCGATACCCTATAGCAGTGTCCCATAGGGATGCCCAGCTCAAGAGGGTGCAGTTTGAGCCCTAGCCAGTGACCATCCCTGTGCTGGATACACGCCCCCAGCCCTTGCAGCTGCCTCTCACTCCCTTTTCTCCATAGGGATCTAAACTGACTCCCTCTGGGGTTACCCCTTGGTTGTGTGTGAAACACTGGATGAAGGCTGGTTGGGGAGGGGTTGCTGCCATGTGGGAGCTGCCCTTATCTCCCACTGCCCCTCCTGGTCCATGGATGTCACCACATCCCCTCCGCCCTCCCCTGTGCTGCTCTTTTATTAAACATTTAATTTTCTAATCCCCACCCCTCCTCCTCTCCCCCCACCCCATTGGCACCTGCCTGTGTTGTGCCCCAGTGCCCGACCCCATGGCCTCCAGGCTGCTCCATGGGAATGGGGCTCCAGGGATGCGGGAAATTGAGGCATGGAATGAGCAGCACTTGGCTGAACCCTGTCCTTGCACCCAGGGGTGCTCCTGCCCAACCTGCAGCTGGTGGATGGATGGAAGGATGGAGGGAGTGATGGATGGAGGAAGGGATGGATGGAGGGGTGGGTGGACGGAGTGATGAATGGATGGATGGATGGATGGATGGATGGATGGATGGATGGATGGATGGATGGATGGATGGAGTGATGGATGGAGGATGGATGGATGGATGGATGGATGGATGGATGGATGGAGTGATGGATGGAGGATGGATGGATGGATGGATGGATGGATGGATGGATGGATGGATGGAGTGATGGATGGATGGAGTGATGGATGGATGGAGTGATGGATGGATGGATGGATGGATGGATGGATGGATGGATGGATGGAGTGATGGATGGATGGAGTGATGGATGGATGGAGTGATGGATGGATGGATGGATGGATGGATGGATGGATGGATGGATGGAGTGATGGATGGATGGATGGATGGATGGATGGACGGACGGATGATGGATGGATGGATGGATGGATGGATGGATGGATGGATGGAGTGATGGATGGATGGATGGATGGATGGATGGATGGATGGACGGACGGACGGATGATGGATGGATGGATGGATGGATGGATGGATGGATGGATGGAGTGATGGATGGATGGATGGATGGATGGATGGATGGATGGATGGATGGATGGATGATGGATGGATGGATGGATGGATGGATGGATGGATGGATGGAGTTATGGATGGATGGATGGATGGATGGATGGATGGATGGATGGATGGACGGACTGTACCCAGCAGGAACCGAATCCCTGCAGAACATCCCTGTCCCTCTGGGGCTCAGTGCTCCCAGCTCCAGGAGAGGTGCAGGGTGTGGATGGCCCCAAGCTGCCTCTGCAGCAAGGTACCAGTGGGCTCTTGGGGCGTTCTCCAGGGGCTCAAGCTCCTTGCAGTGCAGCAGGGTCCACACCAGTGCTCCCACCACTGTTTGGTGCTGATGAGCTCTTGTTGGGGTCTCCATGTGCTGCCCAGGGGACCCCTGTCCTGAGGCTTCTTCTCTGAGGGTTAGGGTTGCTCACAGCAAACCCGGACACCCAGGACCACAAGGGGGGACCCCTCTCTTCACTGTGAGGCCAGTGTGATGCTGAGCTCCAGCTCCCATCCTGGGCACTGCCAAGTGAAACCGTCTTGCCCCTGGCCCCATTTCTGCCTGATTTCACCCCAAATCTTCCGTCCCATGGCCAGAGGAGCCCTGAAGAACTGGATGGAAAGCAAACAAACCAAACTTTACTAGAACCCCAAATCCCACTGTGGTGGAGTTAGTGACAGGCAGAAGAGGGGAAAAAAGGGGGAGCCAGAGTGGCACTACATGGGGAGGGTGATGGGGAGCATGTCCCTGTAGCCAGTAAAGCCAAGTGAAGCATCCACATGCTGTGTGCCTGGTGCTGGGGAGGGATGGGGGGAACTGGGGTCACTTCCCTCAGAGTTTGCTCCGTCCATCCCGCAGCACCTCAATCCTGGGGACCAGCTCTCCAAAGGTGGGTCTGGCACTGGGGGTGAAGGCCCAGCAAGTCAGCATCAGTGTGTAGACCTGGGGGGACGACACAAGGGATGGTTCCATCAGGTGCAGCGCGGTGGTGCCCCCCCCCCCCCCCCCCCGAGTCCCCACCAGCCAGGGCAGGGCTCTCACCGCCTCAGGACAGCCACATGGTGCCGGGAGGCGCCTGTTGTCCTTGAGGAGCTCCAGCAAGTGGCAGATGATCTGCGCCGTCTTCTCAGTGCCCATCATGCGGAGGAACTCCTGTGGGCAGGGGGATACCCATGGGCACAGGGCTTATACCAAAGGCAACAGGTCCAGGGTCAGGCTTTCACCTCTGAGGGGCTCCTGATCTTGTTGCTGTAGGTGAAGAGCTCATAGAGGAGGACCCCAAAGCTCCAGATGTCAGATGCTTGAGAGAAGACATTGTCCGACAGGGACTCGGGTGCATACCTGCCACGGGGAGGATACTGAGCACCGATTGCTGAGGGACCAGCACCACAGCTTCCCTCCAGCGGCACCTCACCAGAAAATGGGGCTCTGGCCGGGCTCCCGCACCACGTAATAGTCCTTGTCCTTTGGCAGCAGCTTGGCCAGCCCGAAGTCCCCAATCTTGACATGGGTTTCACTCTCCACAAGGATGTTCCTGCTGGCCAGGTCCCTGTGCACACAACGCTGCGCGCCCAAGTACTCCATGCCCTGCCCAAGATGCAGCCGCTCACAGCAACCCAGGGACTACAATCTCTTCATCCCCATCTGTCCCCACCCCACAGGGCAGAGTGGGACCCCTTTGATCCCCGTGGTCCCACCTTGCAGATCTGCCAGGCGTAGAGGAGCAGGGCCCTGTGGTCCAGGCGGGGCTGGTTCTTCTGCAGGTAGTCCCGCAGGCAGCCGTTGGGCAGGTATTCCATCACCAGCCGCAGCCTGCGGCATCCTGCAGCCACATCCATCACACTCCAGCTGGGATGCAGGGAAAGCATCCCTGCCCACTCCCTGCCCTATGCTCTCACCCCGGCTGTAGCAGAGCCCCCGGTACTGGACGATGAAGTCGTGCTGCAGCGAGTGCAGAATCTGGATTTCCCTCTCAAAGTCCCTCAGCTCCTTGGCCGAATCCTGCTGCAACTTCTTCACAGCCACCAGCTCACCCGTGCTGTCACCCAGAGGGTCATAGCGGCACAGCTCCACGCTCCCAAAGTTACCCTGGTGGGGATATGGGATGCTGGGGTTCCTTGATGATGGGGGTCCCCATCATCTTCCCAGTGCCCTTCCATGTGCCACACAGGGCACAAACTACTCAGCTTCACAGGGCAAAGCAGAGGATGTTTCATGCCCCACATGCCGGCAAGGAAGGGTGTGGAGGGGGTGCAACTCATGCCCTAATTCTGGGGCTCCCTCTGCCCCCACTCACCTTGCCCAGCAGTGAGATGTACTTGAGGTGCCGCTCCTCAAAGCATGCGGGGTCCTGGCACATGGCAAGGGGCTCGCACCCCCAGAAGCTGTCCCGCAGCACCGCATCAGCAGGGGACAGGTCTGAGAGCAGTTCATAGTCTGGGGGAGGCAGGTGTGAGGGCCCCAGGGTGTTCAAACTCCATTACCCCCCTTCCCCATGTCATGGGCTCACCGGAGGTAATGAGGCTGTTGAGGTCGCGTATGAGGGCACGGAAGCAGGGCCGGCACCAGGGCTCATAGTCCATGCACTGCGCGATGAGCGTGGCCAGCTCAGTCCACTTGGGTGCAGGGAGCTGGAGGTTACTCGCATAGAAATCCAGCTTCTGCAGGGGGGGAGATAAGTCTCAGGCTGGTTATGAGGTGCCCGGCCCTGTGACCCCCGCAAACAGTCCCTCACTGGGCTGTGCAAACCCCTCACACTCCCCAGGAACCAGATGGTCTTAAGGTCCTTTCCAACCCAAACCATTCCATGGCTCTATGGTCACTCAAAGGGTGAGGGATGTCAGGCTGGGGCTTGGTTACTGCTGGTGCCTGCAGCACTGGACCCACAACCACCTCAACACACCCTGAGGATGGGGAGAGCCCTGCAAGACCCTAGCACTGGTTGCCATGGTTGCCATGGCTGCCCGTCGCCCCAATGATGCCCCTTCTCTGGGGTGACCAGAGCCTCTTTCAGCAGAGAAATCCCAGGGTGGGATGGGCAGTGGGTGAGTGAGCAGAGCCCAGGCACAGCGGGATCTGGCAGGAGGGTTGGGATGCAGCAGGATGGGGCAGGAGGATGGGACAGGAGAGTCAGGATGCAGTGGAATGGGGCAGGAGGGTTAAGATGCAGCAGGATGGGGTGCAGAAGTGCCAGGATGCTGTGGGATGGGGCAGGAAGGTCAGAATGCAGCAGGATGGTGCAAGAGAATCAGGATGCAGCAGGATGGTGCAAGATTTTCAGGAGGCAGCAGGATGGTAGAGGAGGATCAGGATGCAGTGGGATGGTGCAGAAGGGTTGGGATGGAGGGACAGGGCAGCCTCACCTTCTGGGGCTCCAGCAGGCTCACAGGCATATTCCCACCACTGAAGATCTCCCAGAGGGTCGCCCCGAAGCTCCACTTGTCAGCAGGCAGAGCCAGGCTCTTGGGGTCCCGGAGGCACTCGGGGGCCAGCCAGGGGATGCGCTCCACCAGCACTGCGAACAGGGGCCCTGCTTAGCACCTACCGGGGGAGGTCTGGCACCCCCAGCCCCAGCACTTACTGTCCTTGGTCAGGATGGAGACGCTGACTCCAGGGTCATTGAGTTTTATGAAGGGGAGGCTGCCGCTGGCCACATCCCCCTCCCGCGTCAGCAGCACCTTCTTAGCTGAGATGTTGCCGTGCGTGATTTTCTTGTCCTCCTGTGGAGGGGAGAAGGATCAGGATCATCAGTGCAGCCCCAGCCCATGGGGCAGCCCCATGCATGAGGCTGAGCTGGTCCAACCAGGGTGACCCAATGGGGATGTGTGGGAACTGTGGGGATGTCGATGCACATGGGTGTTTAGGACCTATGGGACATGGTTTCATGGATGCTGAAGGATGCAGATGCACAGGAGCTATGGGACACGAATGTGCTGGAGCTGCAGGACATGGATGCATGGGAGCTGCTGTACATGGATGCATGGGAGCTTTTGGACACAGATGCATGGGTGCTGTGGGACATGGATGCATGGGTGCTGCAGGACACGGATGCATGGTGGCTATGGGACATGGATGCATGGGTGTTGTAGGACATGGATGCATGGGAGCTTTGGGATGTGGGTCCAAGGAAACAGGAGAGCCATGGAATAAGGACACAGGAAAGCCATGGGATAAGGACATGGGAAAGCCATTAGATAAGGACATGGGAGAGCCATGGGATAAAGATGTGGGACAGCCATGGGATAAGGACTTGGGAGAGCTGTGGGAAGTTGGCCTACAGGAGCTGCAGGACACGTGAATGCAGCTCACCAGGTAGTTGAGGGCATATGCCAGCTGCTTGGCCACCTGCAGCTTCCAGCTCGTCGTCACCTTGCCCTCACCTTGATTCTTCTTCAGGTAGAGATCCAGCGGTCCATACCTGACGTACTCCTGCACCATGATACCTAAGGGGGACAGAACAGTCAGGTCCAGCACATTCACATCCCATGGCTCCTGCGCATCACCCCAGCGCTCACTGTCCTTCCCAAGGCTGACGCCGTGCAGCAGGACCAGATGTTTGTGGGAGAGCTGGCTCATGATGCTGGCGGCCTCCAGGAAGGACTGGATGGGAGAGGAGAGAGACTGGCTCAGGGGGGGCCATGGGGACCTGTCCCAGTGCTGGGTGCTGGGGCTGCTGCTGCCTCACCTCAGAGCAGTTATGGTGGCTGCTGTCCATCACCTTGAGCACCACCGTGGTCTGATGGCACCCGTCCTCCCCCTGGTCCCGCTTGATGCCCTTGTAGATGTGGGTGAAGGAGCCCTGCCCCAGGCTCTCGCCCTGCAGGAGCAGGGGACACTGGTGTAATGGGGGTCTGTGCCCGTGTGCTCCATCCCACCATTGCCTCATGGCCCCCCTCCGTACCCGAACAAGGCTCTGGGGGTCGATCTTGTGGAACATCATTTGGTTGAGGCTGCGGTGGGGAGCACAGGGGGAGCTGGGGGGGTGGGGGCAGCTGCTCCGCACGATCAGCAGGTTCGACTTTTCTGGGGGGAGGGGAACGGCTGTGACACACTGTGACCTCACACAGTCTGCCCTGTGATGTCACAGCCCGCCCTGTGACATCACAGCCCACTCCATGATGTCACAGTCCACCCTGTGATGTCACACAGCTCATCTTCTGCCATCACAGAGCCCCGCTCTATGACATTCTGTGACATAATGCAGCCTGCCCTGTGATGTCAGACAACCAGCTCTATGATGACTGCTCTGTGACACCATCCAACACCCCTCTGTGATGTCATTTGATGACATCATGTAGCCTGCCCCGAGAGACCACAGTGGTGACACACAGCCACGTGGCATCACACAACCCATGCAGTGACATCATGCCCGGTCACCTCTGGGCTGGGGGGGGCAGCAGGCAGCCAGGCTCATGGGGGCACCCTCCGCCTGCAGCCCACAGTGCCTATAGGTGCCCAGCAGCTCCCGCAGGCTGCAGAACCGCCGCGGCATCCCCGAGAGCCCCCAGCTCCCGTCCTTGTCCCTGCGGATCAGGCAGCGCTTGTAGTCCCGGACGGAGAGTGTCTGCAGGGGGAGAGCCTGGCTCAGCGGCACGGGGACCCGCAGCAGCCCCCCAAGTCCCACAGCAGCTGCCGCAGGTCCGCACTGGTGCCAGTACCGATGCTGGTCTCACCTCGGTGCACACGGTCAGCAGGAGGCTGTCAAAGTCCTGTGGGCTGCGGCGCAGCAGGAACAGCCCCGGATGGCTCCCGGCCATCTTCAGCTTGTTCACAGCGAACTCGGAGCTGCAAAAGGACCCCCCACATTGCTCAGCTCTCCACCATGGCACTGCAGTGGGCCCAGCATCACCCGGAAGTGAGCAGGATGGGGACCGGTGTCTCCAACACAAGTGATTTCTTCCCCCTCCCTCCACCACCCGTGGGTTAGGGTGAACAAAGGAGAAGTCTCGGCACCCACCTGATGGGCCCATGGCACTGGTTCTCCAGGTCCTCCAGGAGCCGGGGGGGGGCCACCTCTTTGCAGAAGTAGTGGTGGGCATCAGCCGTCAGTCGGTAGTAGCCGTCGATGAGGGTCACGAAGGAGCATGCGTCCCGCAAAGAGGGGAACTCCACCTCCTGCAGCAGGGCTGGGCGTCAGCCCCACGGCACCCCCAGCCCCTGCTCCATGGGGATCCCCCAGACCCCACCCCCAGCTCACCAGCACCCGGTTGTCTGTCTTGGTGAGGGTGACAACGCGGTTCTCCACAGCGACCCCGTCCCCACTCGCCTGCTTGATGCTGATGTCGGCGATGTCGGGGAAGTCACAGAAGTGCTGTCGGCTCTGAGGGACACAACCAGCACTGACTCCACATTCCCACCCTCATCCCACCACCCAGCGCGGTTCCACCCGCACCTCGGAGCCGCTGCAGCTCCAGAAGATGCCGTTTTCACCGGCCACATGGATGGTGATGTCTGTGGCAGAGCCGGTAGTGCGCACAAGGAAGCTCTCCTCAGCCCAGCGCCGCTGCAGCCGCTCCAGGTCCAGCAGGTACTTGAGCTTCAGGCAGCACCCATCAGTCTGGCAGCCCCCGAGCTTCCGCAGGGATTTGCTGAAGCGGTGCCGGATGCGCTTGCGGGTGAGGAAGCTATGCTGTTGGATCTGGCACCGCAGCGGCACCGGGATGCAGGACTTGTAGCTGCAGGGATGGGGTGGTGAGGCAGTGGTGGGTGCCAGGCTGTCACAATGGGTGCTGCTCTGTCCCCATGGGTGCTGTGCTCTTCCCATGGGTTCCAGGCTGTCCCAATGGTTCCAGGCTGTAACCATGAGTGCTGGGCTGTTGTCACGGGTTCTGGGCTGTCCCCACAGCTCCCAACTCACCTGACATGGCTGAAGACCTCGCTGGGACTCTGGTGCTTCTCCTTGGCGATGCGCAGCATGTCCAGCACAGCCAGGCCCAGGCACTCCTCCTGCTGGGGCAGGCTCAGCACCATGGCCATGCGGCCCCCGATAAAGTCACTGCGGGACTGGGGAGGGCAAGGAGCTCGAGGGGGTTCCTTGTGCCAGCCCCCTGCACCCTACACTTGAGGTACCCCAGGCACATCACATCCTGCTCCAGGCTCTGGTTTCCTGCTGCTGCCCAGGAGCTGGCTCTGTCCTGGGGCATGCACCCCCCCCCCAGGGAACACTGTGACCCCCATATCAGCAACCTGGGGTGACCCAGACTCAGTGTGGGATGCTCCAGCTGAGCTGAGGAGGAGGACCCATGTCCCACAGGCATTGTGGTGGGTGCTGGAGGAGGAGGAAGAGGAGGAGGGTGGCATGGCTCTGGGCAGTAAAGTATATTGCCGCCCCGAGGTTAACACGTACCACACCCCTGAGATGCCACATGGGACTTCACCTGTGGTCCCCGGTGCTGGGGACAGGGATGCCAGCCTGAAAGGGCTCACCTGGGCAAAAAGGTAATCAATGACGGGGTAGTCCAGGACAGGGCTGGCCCGGTCGTTCAGCAGCTGGAAACGGTGGGACTGCCCCAGCCCACACCAGCTGGGGAACAAGAACCTGATGGAGAGAGCAGAGGAGGCCTCAGCACCACATCTCCCACAGTGCATAACCTCTATCAGTCTTCAGAGACTCCCCAGGGAGCCATGCTGGGGCTGTACCTGATCCTGTATACCACGACCTGGCTGCAGGACTCATCGACATTGAAGAGGTGGTTGGGAGGGAACCAGCAGCTCAGGTCCTCAGTGGCCAGGGAGAAGAGCGGGTGGTAAATGGGCAGCACACCTGGGGACAAGAAGAGTGCCGTGACCCTCCCAGGGGACAGGTACATCCGGCACCCACGGCATCAGGAGCCGATAGGCACAGCTGGTACCCGCGGCACTGGGGCTGATTCTCACCGCAGGCTTTGGCAGCGTGCACACAGAGCTCCTCGGCCGTGTACTCGCCGAAGGTGAAAGTGAGGACACCAGCAGCGCCAGGGGGCACCCGGTGGTACAGGTACACTTGGAGGGTGCCAGTCTCAGTTGAGGAGAGGCTGCAGGAGCGCTCCCCGATCAGGGGCGTCTCCTCACCCAGCGGGGCCATGGTGGAGGCTACAACAACAGGGGGAGCTCAGCTGTGAACCTCACCCCCTTCCCCATCAATTTCCCTTTGCATCCTCCCTGGAATCAAACCCAACCACCGCACCCGCCGCACCTCCATTGCTGGGGTCAGCCTGTCCTGGTGAGGATGAAGGGGAAACTGAGGCACACAAACTGTTTTGCAGGCATGGGTATAAACCCACCACCCCCTGCTGCTGTCTTTGTTCCCATGCCCTGAATCGGTCCCAGGAATGGACAGAGGGGACTCAGCTTCATCTCTGTGATCAGCCGGGCTGGATGGACCTCATGAAGCCCCCTGGGCTGGAACGGTACCTGCTCCCGAGTGCTCTGGCCCTGAGGAATGGGTCTGGCTCTGGGCTGCGCCACTGGATCAGGGCTCCTGGATTGGGGTTCTGCAGTCAGGGTTCCTGGATCAGGGTCCTGGTCGGGGTTCTGGGGCTGTGTAAGCTGCTGCTCAGAGCCTATGAGGAAAGGAGAGAGTCAAAACTCCCCTTGGTGACTTCCTTCCTGCCCACAGCCTCCTCGCAGGCGGCTTCCTGGCAAGGGGGGGGGCAGTTTGGGGTGCAAGGCAGAAAGGAGCCACCCGAGCTTGTAGGGACTAGCCGGGGGGTGAAGGGGCAGGGAGTGCGGCACCCCACTTGGTGCTGTGCACCCCACTGGGCACCCCAATGGACCCAGCTCCTTGCTGGTCCTGCCACAGCATCTGGTGCTGTGGGTACCACAGGGGTGGGCAATGCTCTGCCAGGGCCCCATCCTGTCCCACCCCACTGTGCAGAGTAAGGGGCTAGGTGCTTCCTGCCACCCACTGCACCCCATTGCTGGAACCCTCCCTGCCCCACTGAGCCCCACTGAGATGGGCTCAGCCCCTTCACCCCAGTAGTGGCCCCGTCAGCCCAGCCCCATGGTGCTGCTGGTGCTGTTGTGCCTTTCGGGTCACCATGGGGCTGGTGCATGACTGAACCCCGTGCTGTGCACATACCCACTGACGGATGTGGCCGGGCCCAGCAGCAACCACTCGTTGTTTTTCCCTTTTCTGCTGCTCTAACCAGCTCAGCAAGGAGGCAAAGCCACGGGTGAGGAGGGAAGGGTGCCCCTGGGGACACAGGCTGGGGACAAGGCCACCAGCTGGGGTCAAACCCTGGGGACCAGGGACTCTCCTCTGCCTCAGTGCTCAGTGATGCCCTGTGGTGGCTCTGTTCCCACACTGGGGCTCATGCCCAGTCCCAGCCGCAGGCTTATCCCCAGGGCTCAGCCCAAAGTGGGGAAATCCCTGTGGGACAAACCTGTCCAGGTGCCCAGCGGGACAAAGCAGCTTTTGTGCCAGGGAACGAGGAAGCAGCGCGGCCCCACACCTGACGACACATATCCCATCAACCGGATCCATCTCTCTGCTCCCCCAGGCTCAGCGCCTGCAATACGGGGCACCGGGGGTTAACCGGGGTGTGCGGGAGGGAAGGGGTTATGGACACGGCCCCCGACACTCCAAGGTTCCCTCCCCGACGGCCTGAACCTGCCCCCGGCTCCCGCCCCGCTGCTGCAGGAGTCCAAGGCACAACCGGCCCCTCGCCACAGACACTGCAGCAGGGACCCACCGGGACCCCCCGGCAGCGCCTGCTCCCCGCCGGCTGCGCGGATCCGGGGCCCTGTTCGGCTCTGGGTAAAGGTTTAGTTTGCGTTTGTTTTGTCCCCTGGGGCTGGAGATAACCCGGCTGCGGCGGCTCTGCTGCTCTCTGCTTGTGCCTCCACGTCCTTCGCGTGGGGGAACCATGGGGCTCGTGCCTGGAGTCCTCTGGAGCTGCTGGACCAGGCGCTGCTGTTCTCCTCTCGTGCATGCTCTGGACAGGGAGGTACCCAGGACAATTCCTGTGCTGAGCTCAGGAATTTGGGGTCTGCGGCCAAACACCCACCCGGCTGCTCAGCACAGACCCGACCTGGGACAGGGAGAGGGTGGGGTGAGATGGGAAAGGGTGGCAAATATGCTTTTCACTCCATGCTTGGTCCTTTCTGAGTGCTGGTCAATAACTACAAGGAGTTTTCTCCCCCTCCAGTTTCACCACTCTCGGATGCACCAGTGCTGCTGTGTCCTGGCCTAGCTGTGCAGGCTGTGTCCCTGTGCCGTGCCCCTGTGCTGTGTCCCCGAGCTGTGTGTGCTGTGTCCCTGTGCTGTGTGTGCCGTGTCCCTGTGCTGTGTCCCTGGCTGGGGTCTCTCCCCCTGCAGCCACCACGCTGGCACCGGTGGGGAGCCTGGAGCTGTGGGTGCCAGAGCGTCTCACCTTCAGCCTCTGGGACTACGGGGTGTTCGCATTGATGCTGCTGGTGTCCACTGGGATCGGGCTGTTCCACGGCCTCGCCAAGGGCGGCCAGAAGACATCAGAGGATTTCTTCACGGGGGGCCGGCGCATGTCAGCACTGCCCGTGGGGCTCTCGCTCTCCGCCAGCTTCATGTCAGCCATCCAAGTGCTGGGGGTGCCGGCCGAGGCGCACCGCTACGGAGCCAAGTTCCTCTGGATGTGCCTGGGGCAGCTCCTCAACACACTGCTCACCGCAAAGCTCTTCCTCCCTGTCTTCTACCGCCTGGGGCTCACCAGCACCTATGAGGTGGGTGCAGGCAAGGTGGAGGGGCACAGAGATGCACCCAGCCCCTGAGATGGACCCACCACTGTCCCTTCTCCTTGTCCCCAGTACCTGGAGCGGCGCTTCAGCAGGAGTGTGCGGCTCTGTGGGACCCTGCAGTACGTAATGGCCACGGTGCGTGTCCAAGGTGCATGGGTGGGATGGTGACAGTGAGGTATGGCACATAGTAGGGGCTCAGATCCGGCTGTGCTGGTGCTGTCCTGAGTCCCCCAGGAAGCCTTCACATTCCTGAGCTCTTTTTTCTGTAGCTCAAAGCAAACAGACCCCAGCAGGAGCTGTGTTTGGAATGAAAACCTCAGTGTTTTCTCAGCACCCTCATGCTCCTTCCCCATCCCCATGGTGCCAGTGGGATGCGGTGCTGACCCTCCTCTTCCCACAGATGCTGTACACAGGGATCGTCATCTATGCCCCGGCCCTGATCCTTAACCAAGGTGTGATCCCCTTAGTGTCCCCATCCCTGCACTGGGGACATCTCAGCCCTGTCTTTGCACCCCAGGGCTCTGCTGAGCACCTTCTCTTCTCCTCCAGTGACCGGCCTGGACATCTGGGCGTCCCTGCTCTCCACCGGAGTCATCTGCACCTTCTACACCACCATAGTGAGGGAGGGAGTGGAGGGTCCTGGGGGAGCCTCTGTTCCCTGGGGCTCACTATAGCTCTGTCTTGTGCAGGGTGGGATGAAAGCTGTCATCTGGACAGACGTCTTCCAGGTCTTTGTGATGCTCTCTGGCTTCCTTGCCATCATCATCCGGGGGGTGCTGCTGGTGGGGGGCCCCACCATGGTGCTGGCTATTGCTTCCAATGGCTCCAGGGTGAACCTGGCAGAGTGAGTCCCCCCCCAGCCTGTGAGGTGCCAGGGTGTGTGTGGGGGCCAGTGCCAGCCCCAGCCCACCCCAAATCCTGGTGCCCAGCTTCAACCCGGACCCACGGAGCCGGTACACGGTGTGGACCTTCCTGGTGGGAGGCACGCTGGTCTGGCTGTCCATGTACGGCGTCAACCAGGCCCAGGTCCAGCGCTACGTGGCCTGCAGGACCGAGAGGGAGGCCACGATGTGAGTCCATGGGGATGCAGGGATGGGCTGGATCCTGCTCTGCATGGGATAGTGCACTGGGGCAAGGGGCTGCTCTGGGTGAGGGTGATGGCTGCAATGGCCGCATCCAGCCTGTCCACTCAGGGAGCCCAGTGCCTGAATCCCTGTATGGGCCCTGCAGCCCTGCATGGACCCTGCATGAATCTTTTGTGTGGACCTGACAACCTTGCATAGACCTTGCATAGACCCTGCACCCCTGCATTGCCCTTGTGTGACTGCATGGCCGGTGCACCCCTGCATGGACCCCACACCCCTGCATGGACCCCACATGCTGCAGATCTCCTCTCAGTGAGGTTTCTCCCTCCCCGTGCTCGCAGGGCACTGCTGGTCAATCAAGTGGGGCTCTTCTGCATCGTCTCCAGCGCAGTGGCCTGTGGCCTTGTGATGTTTGCGCTCTACAAGGACTGCGATCCCCTCCTCGCTGGCTACATCTCAGCCCCCGACGAGGTACTGGCTCTGCCCTCTCGAGCTGCACATGGAGGGGTGAAAGGGACACACCCAGGGACTGGGTGCAAGGGGCTCCCCCTCAATGCAACCTCTCCCCTCACAGTACATGCCCTACCTAGTGCTTGACATCTTCAAGCAAACCCCAGGGGTGCCAGGGCTGTTCCTGGCCTGTGCCTACAGTGGGACTCTGAGGTGGGGATGGGGCACCCCTCTCCCCAAGGGGAGCCCAAAGCTTCCTGTTGGAAGGGGCTCCTGCTGGCTGCAGGGGCTGAGCACTGCCCGCACCACAGCACAGCCTCCACCAGCATCAACGCCATGGCCGCCGTCACCATCGAGGACCTCATCAAGCCCAGGCTGCCTGCTCTGGCACCACAGCGGCTGACCCTTATCTCCAAGGGGCTGTGTGAGTGGTGCCAAGCTGTGCTGTCTGCACCACACTTCTTTGTGCCATACCATGGTGCACATCCTGGTGCCACGCTACCTCATCCCGTGCCATGCCATGCTGTGCTGCCCTGAGCTGTGCTGTGCCGTGCCATGTCATTCTGCACTTTGTCATGCCATGCCATGCTACCCCTGTCCTGTACTGCACCACACTGGTTTGTGCTACGCCATGGTGCCACATCATGGTACCATGCTGTGCAATGCCATGGTGCCATGCTATGCAATGCCATGCTGTGCCATTCCATGGTGACATGCTGTGCAATGCCATGCTGTGCCATTCCATACCATGTCCTGCAGTGTAATGCCATGCTGCTCCATGCCATTCCATGGTGCCATGCTATGCAATGCCATGCTGTGCTATTCCATGGTGCCATGCTGTGCAATGCCATGCTGTGCCATTCCATACCATGTCCTGCTGTGTAATGCCATGCTGCTCCGTGCCATGCCATGGTGCCATGCTATGCAACGCCATGCTGTGCCATTCCTTACCATGTCCTGCTGTGTAATGCCATGCCGTTCTGTGTTATGCCATGTCATGCCATGCTGTGCATGCCAGCGGTGCTGAGCCGCCCTCTCTCCCCACAGCACTCATCTATGGCACCTCGTGCATCACGGTGGCTGCTCTGGCCTCGCTGCTGGGGGGGGGTGTGCTGCAGGTGAGCCTCGCAGAGCAGAACCACATCCAGCCAAGACCCCTCCTGCCCTGGCCACGTGCCACCAGCTGCCCAAGAGCCCTGGAGCTGGCCAGGGCCTGGAGCACAGCCAAGTGCCCTCCTTCTACTCCTTGTCCTCCTCCTCAGCATCTTCCTTCTCCTTCTTCTCCTCCTTTTCTTCTTCTTCCTCCTCCTCCTTCTTCTCACCCTCCTCATTCTCCTTCTCCTCTTCCTCCTTTTCCTCCTCTTTCT